CAAGCGGGCCCAGAGCAGAGCCAACCCCTGGGCCTCCCAACCTGTCGTGTCAGCCTCACTGCGCTTCTCCTCTGCGCAGCCCCCAGGACTGACTCAGGCCTCCCGAGCTTCCGCACCATCTGCTCACCACGCCCATCGTCACATCCCGACACCCGACACACACGCTCCTTCCAAATGCAAGACCTGAGAACCTGCCTTTTCCTTGGCTAGGGGACCCCACCCTGCAGATCGCTACCTCCTTTTCACCATTGAAGTTTCAGTTCAAATGTCATCTTTGGCCAAGAGCTTTTCGATTATTTAATCCAAATGATACCTGTTCATACACCTAGCCAGCACACCCCTCACATCCTTGTTTGAGTCTGGTTTTTTTTTTGAGACAAGGTCTTGCTATGTAGCCCAGGCTGGCCTTGAACTCATGGCAATCATCTTGCCTCAGCCTCCCAAGTGCTGGGACTACAGGCATGTGCAACCACGCCCAGCTTCCTTGTTTTATTCTTTTTAGCACATTACATTATGTTCAAGAAATGTGTCCACTGCCTTCTGAAAGGGCAAAATAAACCACAAAATCATTAAAGGTCAGCGTTAAGAGGAAAGAAATTCAAAATGCTAAACATGAAAGCAAGGATTTTCACGTGGGAAACAGGCAACAAGGAGAAAATCTAATGTTTCCTGTGAAAATTGTGTAGGGACCAGATGAAGCCCCATGGGACAGACAAGTCTTTCCGCCCTAGAAGACAGTTTAGAAGAGGATAAAGGGGCCATGAGACACTGCTGAGTAGATCAACATGTGCTGCTGGTCAGCCTACGCCAGTCTCCTGCCCACACAGCCATCCACTGGCCATGACAGTGCAGCCAATCTTTGTGCCATCCTGTGTGCAGCTTGGGGCATGGTATGGGGCAGCCAAACCTCCAATTCATGAGATGCTGCAAAATCACTATCAACAGAAATGCCAATGCTGTCCCCAAATGCAGGAGTGCCATGCCCAATGCTCCTTTGCAGGACCCATTGTTGATTCCTACTGTTCTGAGCTCAGAATTCCCTCCTGTCCAATAATTCCCTGTTGTCTGTGTCCCAACTAGGACCAACTGGGATCTGAAAGCTCTGGAAGGCCCGTTTTGTCTTTAAGCGCTATGCCTGCAATTCCAGAATCTACCACAAGGTGGCAGTACTACATAAGCCTCAAAACTAGTTTTAATGCAAATACGCCCTAATTTGAAACAAGATACATGCATTAATATATTTTAAAACTTATTATGTTGAAATAAATTAAAATATGACATACCCACAGTTTGCCAGGACTTGGAGAAGCGTGACACATTCACATGCTGTTGGTGGGAATGTAAATTAGCAGCTCCTCCTGAGGGCAATTTGGCAGCACTCAGCAAAGCTTTAGCACTGCAAACCCTTTGAGGCAGCCATTCAACTTCTAGACGTTTATTTGAAGCCTACATTTATTCCCAGAATGTCAACTGTAAGTATGAGAATTGTCAATGTAAATAATATAACTTGGAGACTGGTTAAAAAAATTATGACTAACTACTACATATGTAGCCATTATAGTATATAAGATTTTTTCTTGGTACTGGAGGACGAACCCAGGGCCTCTGCATTGAGCTACATCCCCAGCTCTGTTTTTTATTTTTAATTTTGAGACAGGATCTTGTTAAGTTGATAGGTTGCCCAAGCTGGGCTTGAACTTGCAATCCGCCTGTCTCAGCCTCTCAGAGTGCTGGGATTACAGGCATGCACCACCTTGCTTGGCTCTGTAGAAGGATTTTCTTTTCCTTTTTTTTTTTGGAACCAGGGATTGAAATTGGGGTCTTGCGCTTGCGAGGCAAGCGATGGCACCACTGAGCTAAATCCCCGGCCCAGTAGAAGGATTTTCATGAAAAAGGAAAAAGGCAATAAGAGAGCATGTCCCTTGTATTCCTGTCTTTATGCCAGTAAATATAAAAACAAACTCACATATAAGAATGCTGGGAGAACAACCCTGTAAATACTGAGAAGGCAGGGCTGCGGCAGTAGCTCCGTGGTAGAGCACTTGCCTCGAATGTGCCACCCTCAACACTTGAAGATTAAATAAATACTGAGACATTTACCTGGGGCGGCAGTGTGGCCGATGCTCTATCCTTTTATTTTTGAGTGCTTTTCTCTATTCTCCAAATGCTTTACAATTGCCTCTCATGTCACCAGAACGTTGTGGCCAGGGAGCCCCTGGGTGGAGAGCACAGGCTGCTCTTTGTTTAGTGTGGGAAGGGACCAATGACCCTTGCCCTTGTAGCCCTGAGCATCTCGGCCAGCCTGCCCGGCAGAGGGGCCCCCTGTGCCCAAGGCGGCCGGCTGCACGTGTGGGCCTGTCTGCAGAGCAACCTCGGCCTCCTCTTTCCTTGCTCTTACTTCCCCTTAGGAAGCAAAGATCTGGCACAAAGAGAAAGAAAAATCTTCTCTGAGGCTGGGCTTGAAGTTTACTAAGCTGCAAAAAACAAAACCTAAGAAACAAAGACAAGAACAACAAATTCCCCAAACCCAAACCACCACCACCACCACCATGAAACCCTTTTTCTATCACTAGCGCTCTCAAAGCTGTCTTCTTTCAAACACTGTAAAGTTATGTTGAGTGTGTCAGAATGATTCCCCACCCGCCTTCCAGTTTTCCTTTAAAAAAAATGCAGTTGGGGCTGGGGTTGTAGCTCAGTGGTAGAGGGCTTGCCGGACATGCATGAAGCCACAGGTTCTATGCCCAGGGCCACAAGAAAAAACTTCATTTAGTTAATCACAGTAATCGAGCACATTGCAGGGGCACAGCATGACCTTTCAGTACGAGAACACACTGTGGGGTCGGGCGATCTCTTTTGAGGCCTTCAGTGAAGAGAAAAGACCCTTGGCTGGATGCAGGGCTCTGAGGCACCCTGTCTACCCCGCCCCCTGCAGGCGGGGTCACCCCAGCCCAGCCTGCCAGGGCCGCATAGCTGGCTTGAGTCTGCACGTGCCTGGCCAGCTGCAGCCTGTCGTGTCCTCTGCACACGAGGGGCCTCTGGGTGTCCCAGCCTCCTTAGCACTTGGCGGTCACCCCAACTCTTGGGGCATCCCCGGTCTCCAGAGGCTGAGGGGAATCTCAGCTCAGAACACGTGGCCCCAGGCCCTATGGAAGTCCACCTTCCACTGCTTTCTCTCCTGCAGGGGAAGCCAAGCAGGGTGTTGGCCCCATCCTGTGTGTCTCATGCAAGGGACAGGCCACGGAGCAGAGCTGGATGGGGTGCCGGGGCACACGGGAGAGCAGCTTGCTCTGAATGCTGGTGACACAGACGCCCTGAACCAGGGACAGGGCCCACGCCTGCTGGACTGGGGTTTGCATGGTGGCTGGGTCCAGCAGCCTCAGGAGAGGCCAGTGTGGGCGGGACAGCAGCTCTCGGGGGTCTGACAGGTCCCCACACCCCACACTGGGCCTGGCACGCTGGGGCTTCCCTGGATCCGAGGGGCTGCTGCAGGGCACCTGCAAACGACGTGACCCTTGCGGGGCCCACACTGCTCCCTGCCTGGACACTCCCTGCTTCACGACAGAGGACGCTTGGGCTCCATATGTAGCTGTCTCTGTCCCCAGACCCCGGCATCCAGAGCCCCTTCTCTGGGCCAGACTGAGGACAAAAGTTCTGTCCCTGCCTGGCTTCCAGTCACACAGAGGGCCCAGTACCAGCCACCTCTGCTTCCTGTCACCACAGTGTCCCAGGTGCTGTATACATGGCCTCATTTCACCCCAGTCCCAGTCCCCCAGGAAGGGACTTTGTTGTCCTCTGTTACAGGTAAGAAGCCCAAGGCCCAGGACCCCAGGGGTTTCTGGGGGCTCCGCAGCTGGGGCGCAGCAGGGACAGATTCCAGCCCTGGCTGCTCAGCTCCACGCCAGGCTTCTGCCTGCTGTCACCCCAGAGGCACCAGCCACCCTGTGCCAGCCTCAGGTCCTGGGAGGAGGGCAGGCATGGGGCAGAGGAAGGAATCACTCACCCCTCCCGCACTCCCTCGGGACACTTGGCCTGCAGGTCTCTGGCCAACGAGGGCTCAGGTTAGGACTTTTTGCATTTCGGGGCCGCGAGAGCAGTGTGTGCTCACAGAGACTGCCTTCAGTGTTTGAGTCGGATCTTCGACTGGCCAGCGCCATGAGGTCTGGTCCTCTCTTACCATGCTGGGCTCAGCCTCGACCTCTGAACACGAGGGGAGACCGCTGGCTGCAGGCCGTGTTGCTGAGACGCTCTGTAGGTTAGGCGCTGAGTGCATTTCTGACCTCCAATATTTTACATTTGCTGTGTAGTATATGATGCCACCCACCGAGTCAAAAGCATTGCGAAGAAAACCCCAGAAGGTGAGCTAACGAGATCAGCCCGGAGGAAAGTTCCTCTGGAAAGCTCCTCCCTATGCACACGGAAGGCTGCAATACCCGGCGGAAGGCCTTGCTCCCCCAGAGCTGGCTGCTGTGGGAGGAGTGGGGAGCTGACCCCCTAGTCAGAAAGTGGAGGGTGCTGGGCACAGTGGTGGCCCCGTGGGCTGCGTGCTTCTTCCCTGACAGAGCTGAGCTTCCTGCCCGCGGGCATGGAAGACATCTGCCCGCCCGGGGGCCGCTCCTTGGATGCCCCTGTGACCAGCTTCACCCTCCTCAGGGCCCCTCCCTTCCTGCCACCGGATGACGTGGTGTCTACGTCTGAGAGGTGACGATGCCCCCGCTCCCGACGTGATCTGGGGCCTAGATGGTGAGCCTGGGCAGGAGGCGTGACTGCTCCGACACCCTGGCTGGGCCGGACCTGCTGGGCCCGAGCGCCTCTGAGATGCCCATGGACACTGCTCGCTTGGCCTCAGGCAGCCCCGGAGCCCACGCCAATCCCCGCCACGGAAAGACGCAGCCCCGCAGAGAGAGGAGAAAGGCAGGAGCGAGACAGTTCAGTTAGGGCTCGGGAAGGAAGTCGGCTGAAGAGGAAAGGGCGAAGAGAGCAAAAAATAAATGACAAATTACCGGGTAGCCATCTCGTCCTGATTGTCCCTGTGGTGATTAATATGTCATTAATAATCAGACTTTCGGCAGAAAACCATATGGCAACAGTTAGATCTTGGCTGGCTGCGACCCCTCCCCTCCGAGCTCCGACTGGCTGGCAGCAGTGTCTGAGGGTGGGCAGAGCACTAAGAGCAGGATGCGGGGCTCCTGTGGCTGGGGACACAGCACCCTTCTCCCGCCTTTGGGGGCCAGGCCGAGGGCCGTGGGGGCCCTGGGCACATGCACACACGGTGTCCGTGACTTCACACATGGCACAGACCTCTTGGGGGCGTGGGGCTCTTTCGTGGCACCGCGAGGGCCCTGGAGGAGTCACTTGCTCCCCCCTGGGGCACACTGGCTGCCGTGGTGCTTCTCTGTCCCCCTCAAGGCCAGGCCTGCAGCAAGCAGTGCCCGCCGGGCCCTGTCCCTCAGCCAGCCCTCCTCAGGCTCCCTGCCGGTTGCAGCTGGGGAATCTCTGCATTTGTTTAGGGCATCTACTATTTTAACATAACAGCCAAAAAATTTTAAAAAGTCACTCAACAGCCCTCAGTGCTTCGCATTTCAGCAAGTTCACACCGGGCGCCTCCGTGGACACCCGGGAACCATCTACTAGGAAAGACTGCTCGGGCCCGGACATGGACACATTCGTGTGGGCTTGGGCATTTTGGGGGCTCAGCGTGGCGCTACATGCGTGGAGAAGCCCAGACTCCAAAGGGTGCCGATCCAGAAATGAATCACGGCAAGTGGAAGTCAAACACAAAAAGGCTCATTGGAAAAGAATTCCTTTGGGAGGTTAATTTTGGCTCAAGTCAGCTGTCAATGTGCTTCTTGAACGGATTCATTGGGATTTATCGGGTTCTGAAAAACTGCCAAGAGGATCAAAGGCAGACACGTCCTGGGCCCTGGAGAACGCGGGGTTCTGACAATCCCCTCATCCAAAGGCCCTCTGGCTGGCCAAGGAACGTGCAGGGGCCCCTTCGACTTCCTGTCATCCCTCCCACACCGGCACTGGAGATCCAGCCCGGGCCTTGAGCGTTCAGGGCAAGCTCCACCGCTGACTACCCCCATGGCCCTTTAACGATGTTATTTTGAGACAGACTTCCTATGTAGCCCTGGGACTTGTGGTCCTCCTGCCTCAGCCTCCCGAGCGGCTGGGATCACGGGTGTGTGCCACGCACCTGGCTGCCCCACGCCCTTCTTAAGTGCGGTAGGATTTTCCTTCTGCTGCCACCTCCAGCACCTTCAGGCAGGTCAGCGAGGCCCACAGGCCCCACCAGTCTGACCCAAGTAAGCCCCAGGCGGCGTGGCGAGCCTGGCTCGCTCCTGGGGCCACTGCCGCCTCCACAGTCCATTCTACCAAAGCCTGTGAGTTAAAAACATCAGTAGCTGCAGGCCACTTAAAAACTGGGGCTTCTGCACACTAAGCTGAGGCAAAGGCCTGGTGGGGAGCAGTCAGACTTCTCCAGCTCTCTCGGAAGGAAAGGGCTGCAGGACGTCCCAGAGGAGCCAAGCCCGCGGGGCTCTGTGCTCACCTTCGCCTCCCAGCTAAAATGTAACACGGCCCTGACTGGCACGCAGTGTTCACGGGTGCCCACTTGCCCACCTTCCTTTCCTTTTCCCTTCCTTCCTTCCTTCCTTGCAGTGCTGGGGATCGAACCCACAGCCTCATGCACTCCTGGCAAGTACTTTATCACTAGGGTAACATCCCCAGCTTAAACTCTTTTTCTTTTTTTTAAAGGGTACACCTCTCTAACCAAAAAATATTTTCATGGGAGAGCAACAGAGAGAGAACAAAGCAGTGTCTTATCTGTAGGAGTGGAGTGCCGTCCGGGACACTTACTGGAGGACCTGCAAGACATAAGCAGAGAAACCACCGTCAGCAAGGAGGGCAGAAGTCCCCTCGCCGTCCCCAGCATGGCCTGTGCCTCTCGCTCACCAGGGCTTGACGGGGTCACAGCTGCTTCCTGTGACAGCCCCACAGCCATGGGGCAGAGAGAGGAGCCACCTTGGGCTCAAGGGGTGCTCATGTGGGTGGTGACAACAGTCTCCACATGTCCTGTCCGTGGAATTTGGGGGTGGCTGGTTTCTCTTGGTGGAGAGAGGCTGGGGAGAGAGTCCTGGGAAAGGGACGGGCATGTGCCTGGGGCCTGGGGCGCGGCTGGAGAGTGGACGGACAGACACAGCCCACCCTCCGGACCTTGGGTTCTCATCACAGATTCAACTGGTTGGGGTTCAGGAACGCAAGGAAGAGAACTGTCTGCATTGAACTCATATGACCTTTCTCCTGTCACTGCCCTCACACAATACCCAGCTGCCTGGGTAGCACTTGGATAAGTCGTCTAGAGGTGACTGGAAGCACACAGGGTATACGCAACTTGTACATCACTTATGTCAGGGACTTAATCTTTGCGGCTCCTGGAAGCAGTCCCGGTGGATACCAGGGATGTGCACGGCAGGAAGCCCTGACTGCCTGCAGGTCTCACAGAATGGCGGTCGTTGGCTAACAGACACTTGGGAAGCCTTGATGGGCGGGGAGGGGCAGGGAGGTGCGGGCAGCCTGCACGGGGAGAGGGACTGGCAGACCCTGAGCTCCCAAGGAGCCGGCACCAGTGAGGAACAGCCATGCGGCAGGACTGTGAGTGCTGTGTGGAGGAGTAGTCGAGGGCCCTGGGAGGGCTTGGAGACTGCATCGGGGTCCCCACAGGGAGGCAGTGGTGATGGAGGAGGTGCCCAGGAGGCCCTTGGGGTCAGTGTGCAGAGGAGGGAGGGATGACACTGACAAGGACGGCACATGGGTGTGGGCAGTGCGGACACCGACACTCCCCTGCAGCTGGTGACCATGCTTCCTGTTTTACAGAGGAACAGCTGTGGTCAGACTACCTCACCTTCCTCATTTCTTTCCTTTTTTTTTTTTTTGTACTGCGGATTGAACCCAGGGCATTCACACTGAGCTACGTCCCCAACCCTTCAAAAAATTAAAAAAATTTTTGAGACAGGGTTTCATTAAGTCACTAAGTTGTCCAGGTTGGGCTTGAACTTCCGATCCTCCTGCCTCAGCCTCCAGAGTGCCGGGAATAGAGGTATGTGCCACCACACCCAGCTAATATCACCTTTCAGGGACTAGATTTACATGCCTGCCTGCATGCCCCTCAGGTTAGCTTGGAGGCGCTGGTCTACTTCCGGTTACAGCCCCCTGCACCTCCCTGGAGTCCTGCTCTACCCACTGCACCCTCTTTGTCCGGCACAGCTGAGCTTGCCCCCTCCAGCAGGTCTTTCCCAAGTGTGCTGAAACATGCTCTAATGCTTCCATGGAAAACCCATTCTTTGGTACTTCTCCACTGTTATGGTTTACATCTGATGTCCTCCAAATCCTCATGTGCTCCTAGTTGGGGCTTTTGGGAGGTGACTGGAACATGGAGGTGTGGATTAGCCCACTGATGAGTTTATAGTTAACTGTGGTGTTGAGAGCTGAAGCCTGGTTGGAGGAGGTGGGTCAGTGGGGGTGTGGCCTGGGTCTATCTCCCTCCCTCCCCCTTGATCTCTTGTTGCTTCCTGTTACCCTGCCATGGACTGTTTCTCCTCTGCCATGCTGTCCTGCCTTGGAGCCATCGGACTATGGGCTGAAACCTCTACCAACTGTGAGCCAAAATAAACCTGTCCTCCTTTAACTTATGAGTATTGGGTATCATGTCTCCGTGAAGAGAAAGTAACTAAGACACCTCCTTCACTACCACCCGATCCTGGCCTCCTCCCACATAGCCAGATTGCTTCCCAGGGGTGTTTACCCTCTCTCGCTGGGGTTCCTTGTCTTCTGCTTCATTGTGACCCCTGATCTGGATCACACCCCTCCCCCATGCAGCTCTCCCCAAGGTGCCCAGTGGCCTTTCCCATGCTGACAACCCAGCCCCTGTTTCTCTTCCTCCTGCTACTGGAGGCAGCATCCACACTTCTGACTGAGAGTTCTGAGCGCTCTCTTCAGAGGCTTCCACAGATGTCCCACCCCCTACTCCCTGGCCTTTTGTCTCATCACTGATTGAGTCTCCTCCGTCCAGCTGATGCAGGAAGCTTCCTCAGGGCTCAGGTCCGGACGGCCCTCTCCTCAGTTCTCTGCCCTGCTCATCTACTCTCCTGTCTCCTCCAAGGACCTTACTGTGCTTCCCTCTCAGGACAGCGCAGTGTGCATCGCCAGCCTGCACTGTGCCTCTGCACCTGGACTCCCTTCTGATCTGCTGACTTGACATTGCCCCTTGAACAACGCAGAGCCCTCAGTGGTCAGCACAGCTGCACTTGTGGCCCTCTCCCCACAGATCTGCTCCCCTTCCTTAGCTGCTGGTCTCTAAAGGGGGTCGCTGCTCATCTGGTTAAGGAGCCAGAGAGCAAGAGGCTGCCTTTGACATGCTTTCCCTCCCTGAGCTATTCTTGCGTTATTGTTTCTCCTCCTTCTTCTCCTCTTTTTCCTTGAGAGAGGGTCTTGTTATGTTGCTCAGACTGATTTGGAACTCCTGGGCTCAAGGGATCCTCTTACTTCAGCCTTCAGAGTAGCTGCACCACACATGTGTGGCACCGTGCACAGCCAATAGTTTCTTGCTTTGGAATCCATTCTCTGACTCCCTCCGACACAACAACCCCGATCCCAGAGACTGCCAGGCACTGACTACAGCAGTGGCCTCCTAACCGATCTCGGTTTCCACTGTTCCCAGACAATTACCGAGTACTTGCTCGCTGCCCATCACCGTTTCAGGCTCCTAGGATTTGCCTGTGAAAATAACAAAGATCCTGTCCTACTATAGCTTCCTTCTTATTGAGGGAGACAGACAAGGTAGAGTGTGATGAGCTCCGTGCTGTGGAGGGGGCTCGGGGCACCCAGGGCGGGGACTGCTGTGCTGGGGAGCTCAGGGTGGAGGTCGTGGAGACGAGACCACCACTGAGCAGAGGCCTGAAGGGGTGGAGTTCCCACAGGAGGGCCAGGGGCGATGTGCTGAGGTCGGAAGACAGATGACATGGAAGGGAGGCAGGGCTGGAACATGTGAGTGGAGATCATTTTCTAGGTGAGGTCTCCCTAAGTGGCTCAGGCTGTGATCCAAGCTGGGACCTCCTGGGCTCCCGAGGAGCGGGGACTGCAGACGTGCACCGCCAAGCCCAGCGCCAACGGCGACTGTGAGCACTCTGCTGCTGACAAGGCTGTGGTGGTTGGGCGAGGCTGAGCTCAGTGGAGGAGAGGGGGGTCCAAGAGCCCAGTGTGTGGAGGGCTTCTCTCTCTGGTGGAGGGGAGTGGGGAGGGACACAGATAGCAGCTGGTGAGAGCAGTCAGGAGGGGATTAAGTCCTGGTATTCTACAGCACGTAGGATGACTACAGTTGACAACAATCTATTGTACATTTCAAAACAGCCAGGAGAGAGGACATTGGATGACACAACACAGAAATGACATGTTCACGGTACAGATATGTTCATTACCCCACGTGACTGTAACGTCGCCGTGGACCCCACAAACCTGTACAACCACCATACACCAACTACGAAGAAAACAAACCAGTACAGAGGCCCTTTAGGAGGAAAAAGGATGAACAGAAACTAAGCGAAAGTCATGTTGGAGAGGGGCTGTGCCCCAGGGGCAGAGGCCACAGCAAGAGCGGTCAGATCCAGCTGCAGACATGGCCACCTCTGCCCCAGTGCCATCCTGGCCCCAGGAGGCATAGGGTGTCTTCCAGATGCAGGTCGCATCAGCCATGCCGCCTCCTGTGAGCCACTGTCCTTCGGACAAAAGCGGACATTCAGTCGCTCCTTCAGGGCAGAGATCTGCCCTCCCCAGCCCATGGGCAGGCTCCCCAGGCTGCCCCTGCCGTGGCAGCCCTGGAAGCGGGGGAGAGAGGCGGGCAGTAGGAAGACTGGTCCTTCCCAAGAGTAAGTGACCTCCGACCTATGAGTCAGCACAAGCAAGGATAAATTCCAAAGGAACCAGAGATTTTCAGGTTTAAAAGAATCAGGAACTCCTCAAGGAAAAGTGGGAAGAGTCCTCTGTGACTCCTGAGAAAGGCAGCTTTGCCGATACGTTCATGATCCAGAAGTCATGAAGAAAATCCGCTCCAGTCGGCGAACCGGAACTCTACACAGCGGAGCCAGAAGTCTGCACGGCGAAAGTCCTTGCAAGCAAAGCAACAGGCCAAGCTGGGAGAAGTCCATCTACTCATGGCATCAGGCTGACACCTTGGTATAAAACCCTCCCACAGGGCCGGGGATTTAGCTCAGAGGTTTTGCCGCCTGCTGTGCAAGCACAAGGACCCGAGTTCGATCCCCGGTACCAAAACAAAACAAAAAACCCAAAAAACTCTCCCACAGGCGGTCTACATCATGGAAAAATGAGGCATTTTTCAAAACATCAGCAGCTTAATGGAAAAGTGGCCCAAAGATATGAATGGAAGGGTCACAGGACAGAAAATACAAGCATCCCTTAAAAGAACGAAGTTCAGAATCTAATCCTTATTATGTTCATAATAATAGAAATGAAGGTTAAATTCACAGGAATGTCAGACTAGAAAAAGTGAAAAAACATCTGGTGAACTAGCATGTGAATGGCAGGAAGGCTGAGAGATAAACCAGCACATTCTCTATAGACAGCGGCTTGGCAATCCTTGTCCATACAGTATTCGAAATGTAGGGCTAGGGGTGTAGCTCAGGGATAGAGTGCTTGCCTGGCATGCACAAGGCCTTGGACTCCAACCCTGGCCCTGCCCTCCCCCCCAAAAGATTTCAGATGTACTTGCCAATTGCCATTATTCTGTAGATAGGTTAACATACATATAAAAGGCCAAGTATATCAGAATATTCATTGGAGAACCACTTCACAT